ATATGCTTAGTTAAGGTAAATTGAGCTCTGAGCATTACAAAAGTGCCCAGAAATGACCTAAACATGAAACAAAAGTACTCTTCTTATTTCTTAGCCCAAGAGCAAACCTAAGGGATTTGCTAAGGTCAGTCACAGGATGAAATGATCCTGGTCAGTAAAAAGTTCAAGATTAAAATTTAATATGCACAACACAGCTATTTTGCTTTCTTGATCCAAAATTCTTACAAAGTTTTTTGATGTGACCACAAGATTCCATGGATTTCTGCTTCTACTGCCTTACAAAGAGTATGAAAAGAGTACTCTGGAAAAGGAGAATGCAAAGACTTTCAAGTGACAGAAAAAGTGTGACTGATCCTCAGTAGGTTATGCCAGAAATGAAAGTCTGAAGAAGTGTTTTTTCTCTTCTTTCTCCTGGTGAAAGCTAATGGCCCAGATCTTCAAGTCACCATCAAGAACTAAGATTAGAGGTTTTAAGATTAGAACATATTCACCAGTGTCCAGCTGATTTACTCACTTATGTGCAGATTAAATCTACAGCCTTGGCTAATCACAAGATCCTATTTAACTAACCAACCCCCTATGTCAGGGATTGGCAATTTATGGCTCGCAGGCCAAATTTAGCCTGTTTTTGTATGGCTCTCAAACTAAGAATGGCTTTTACATTTTTTTAGGTGGTTAGAAAAAATCAAGAGTAATAGTTTGTGATATGTGGAAATCATATGAAGTGTAAGTTTTAGAATTCATAAGTACATTTTTATTGACACTTAGCTCCACTTAGCCATTAAAGTCGAATCTGTGGTTGTTTTTTTGTAAAGGCAGAGTTGAGTAGTTGTGACTAAGACCTTAGAGACGGTAAAGCATTTACTATGTAGTCCTTTACTGAAAATGTTTGCCAACTTCATGCTTGATATTACCTTGATGTGTAAAAATACTTATATTCCCAACACAACTGAGAACACATTCTGGAAATGGAAAAGCACAGAAATAAAATTGGTTACATCGCATGCAGAGTGGAGTTTCTACCTCAGCACTGGGCATTCATACTTCCAGGAAAAAAAAAAAAAAAAAAAGGGAGAAAAGTCACTTCCCAAAAGGCAAGGGACACTGATCCAGTTCATCAATTAGAAATAGACAACATTTATGCTTTCTGCTCTTACATTGTTCTTTACTATCGGGGAGTGAGTAAAACAGCAGAAGGGTACTTGGAGTCAGATGATACACAATGGTGGATGTGGTCAGTTGGATTTCAGAAAGTGCATTTTCAGAATAGATTTTCAGGAAAGAGACCTTGCCAGCCTCTCTCACTACTATATTTCTCGAACCTCTGTATTGTGAATACTGAAGAATTTGGAGAATAAATATATAATAATCTGTCTCTGCACATTTATGAAGAAAATGACTACTATGTCTTTTTTAATTTTTAAAAGACTTATTTATGCATACAAAACCTGGGGTACAGCCCAGAAGTCCAGGAATAGTGGTGACAGGATTTACCACAAAGTGGAAAGCAGAACTGGCCTATACCCCAGTTCTTGAATACATAAATAAACAAAATCTTTAATAAAAAAAAAATAAGAGATTTTTCTAGCTTCCTTAAGTATTTAGTGAGTAAAGATAAAATAATTTCCTTTGTGTAAGTAGGTACATTCTAGTTTGGATTCTGTTCTGTTTTGGTCATGTTTGTTCACATAATCATCAGTCTCTACAAAACACTTCAAGGAGAAAAGAGCTTGACTGGAGGCGGAGGAAGAGATAACAAGTAAGGTTGTAAACAAGACTCTATTCATACTGGCCCAGGCTTGTCTGATGTTGGCCAACCAAGACAGCTGGGATCATAAATAAATCTGTTGGGAGTGACCAAAGATTTACAGACTAGGACTGAATTAGGGTGATAATGAATTGAGCCTTGCATCCAAGCTTGATAAGGTGGTAATAAACTGACCTTGCATACCCTCCTTCCGGGTGGGGCAGGGAACTTGGAACTTCCCCTTTTCCTAGGGACCAACCTGTTACAGTACCTCAAAATATCCTGAATACCACCGGCTAATTGAAGCAATACAAAATAGAATGCAAAATTAAAAAAGCTATAGGCCAATATCAATACTATGAAATCATTTGTGGTAAGAAGGGAATGGTTTGTTTATACTTGAAAATATTCCAGACACACAACAATTATTATCTTTGGGATGTGGAACTGGATGAGGCATCCTTTTTTTGTTTTTTTTTACTCTACATATATTTGATTTTTTTATTTTTTAAAACAACATCCTTTCTTTCTGAATTTTCCTGAAGACCAGAAGATATGTACTGAAAAAGTGGTGTGAATTAAAACACACATTAAAATCACAGTCAATAGTAAAGTGTAATCATTGCACCAAAACAGGACTTATGCTAGTGTAACAAGATGATTATTTTGTCTTATAAATTAGGGGTGGAGAATTTGCAAAACATCAGGGATTTAGCTAAAAAGGATTGCTTTCCTTGTTTATAGAAATTCCCAATTACTGGAAGAGCACAAGTGAACAGTAAGTTCTTTTATCAGGGATGTAAGTATTCCTGATTGTGCCAGTTTAAAGTAAATGATTTAGTCAATGAATGCTAAATTTCTAAAAATAGTTATCCAGAATATGTCACTGCACTCAGGTTCTAAGACAAGTGAAAAAAACATTTATCTTTCCAAATTATCATTTATCTTCCCAAATCACCTTTCTTCTAAATAACTTCAACCTTTGATGGAGTTTAATAGAATGTCAGTTGGCCAGATAAGCTTTCACAAGTAAGCTTCACATTTTGTTTTCAAATGAGTAACATAGTATGCTTTGGCAGGAATCCACTTAGTAACCTCTGGGGTGACTCGTAGATGGGAATCCTCACCCAAAATTTAGCAATTTTATTTTGAACTTTTCTAATCATGGTTTTATTTAATCTATTGTTATCACTTTAAAGTGTACTTCTTTGTCATTAAATATATTCACGTTGTTTTACATAACCCACTATCATCTACTTACACAATTTTTTTCAACTTTACAAAACTGAAACTCCCCTTCTCCCTTGTTTCAGAACCGGCAAACATCATTCCAATTTCTCTGTGAATCTGACTATTCTAAGAACCTCATATGAATGGGATTACACATAAATTGATTTTTTTGACTGTCATTTCTCTTAACAGAGATCCTCAAGTCTTATCCACATCGCATATTACAGAATTTCCTTTCTTTTTAAGGCTGAGTACTATTCCACTGTTTGAATTGATATCACATGTGTTTATTCATCCGTCTCTTGATGGATACTTGGGGCTAACAGGAAGATCAAATTTCTCTAAGTCTTTAACAAGGAAAAAACAAACTTGAATATGTGTAACAGTCATACTCTACTGTGCCTTTCCTAGTAATCTCTTAACTGAAAACCAGCTCCCTCTACCCCAGGGCATAGTTTATCTTTTAGTTCAAGTTATTTAAGGAGGTGACCTAAGCTTTTTGGACAGTTCTTCCATTGCTCCTGAGTTTCTCCCATGTATACAGGATGTGTAGAGCTCATTATTAAATCCTTTTTTTTTTCTATTGTCAGTGTTAACATAATAATTTGCCAACCTTCAAGTGTAACAGGGTGGCACCGAGAGAGGTTATTATTCCTAATACTGGAAATACTGAATGAAAGTATACATTTAAAATTTTGTCAAATTGATCTTCAAAATGTTCTGCCAATTTATGTCTCCACCAACAGTTCGTGTGTGTCTAATTCCCCATGCCTCTCACAAAAACTTTCATTCTTGCCCAGCTAAGAGATGAAATGGGTATGTATTCACTCAATGTTGTTTTAATTTATAGGTGCTCAGTTGCTTGTGAAGTTAAGCATTTTTGTTTGTTGTTTGTTTGCTATGGATTACCACTGCTTGTCCAATGCCTGTCACCTACCCTCCCTACCCAAGTCATTTATTTTTTGAAAAGTTTTTGACCAAAAAGAAACACCATAAACTTTTGAGGAACTTATTGAATACAAAAGATTTAGAGTGAGCTACCAAGAGAGAAAGGGAGGGGAGGAAAAAGGAAAAGAGAACTTTTACCACCTTTAAGGAGAAATATTTTAAAGACTTTAAAAACAAAAGTGATACTCTCTTGCAGAAAATGCCTACATTAAATCAAACTTCATGTGTAAGGTACATATGTAACAACAAAAAAAAAAGTGCAGAGTTAGTGGTGACTTTTCCCTTCTTTTAAGTTCACTTAGTCACCAACTCTTATTAATTCTTCCCTTGCAGAGATATGTAGATGCCCTGTGTTAAAACTTCCTCATGCCAATTCCTCGCTGAAATGTCTGCCAATTGTTGAGTATTACCAGTATTTGGGATACTACTGGCATGCTGGGTGAGACCTGTAGCTGGACCTGACAAATCTAATGCAAATCTTATCGCAGAAGGGGCTAATCTTTTGACCACTTCTGTAGCCTGTCTCCATGCTGTTCACATCAAAATGAAAAGGTACTTACCTTCTTTTAAAACATGATGCTCCAATCAGGAAAAGCAATATTCATGCTATAAAATAGTAAAAATGCTCCTTATAGCTACTATACTTTTATAAGGTCAATTAAAATCATCAAACTTTTAAAATGTGACTTTCTAAACATCCTTACCATATCGCATACTTTAGCTTCTGCTGTTTGACACAAAATATATGCTATAGCCCTCTAATGCTCAGAATCACAACAAAGCAAAATTTGGAAAGGAGAAATTAAAAATTGATGTAAAAATGATCTCTAGCAACTATTACAGTTATAATAAGTAAAAGTAAAAATAGATTACCTGCAAGTTATTTGTTTAAATGACAAGAAGCAACTTTACCATAAAAGTGTTTCCATATTCTTTTTTTTTTCTGTACTCTAGAGAGCAATCTCAGATGCATTTACTTTATTATCACTTTGTTACCTCATTAAATTTTGAAAAAATCTATTATCCTTTTCTAGTAATGTAACTGTAAAAAAGGGAAGAACCCCTACTGTGTTCTTGAAAAATTTTATTTTGATTTAAACAAAAAAATCAAATGTTACTTATGTCATCCCAACAATAGAAGCGAGAGTTTGATCATCCTTCATAGCTGTTAGCTGGCAAACTCCAAGTGTGAGATATAGTATAGATAAAGGACATTTATTATTACAGATAAAATTTACCTCCAAAGAGATAATGAAAGTAAGAAAAATACTAGAAACAGGTTTACATGAAATCACATCAGAAAAATGATGCCTAATGCTTTGGAAAATTTTGTCACCATTTAATACTCAGAAGAATAATTTCTTAAAAAATTAAGAACAGGTGGTTTATACTATATGTGTCAGAACCAATGATACTACTTCCATCAGTTTCATGTGATTATTAGGATTCAAGACACTACTTAAAATCTAGATGTAGGCCCAAACAATTAGTCACTGACAAAAGTGGATATTTTACATTTCTTTTGAGGAAATAAAAATAAGACTTTTTAGATCTTACTATCATTTACTATTGATAAGTCCAATTTTAATGTATACCAAAAGTAAGGGAAGGGCAGCACTGTTATACACCTGAATATGATTCCAAGTAGAATGTCCCTGTAAGCAACCACCAAAAAATCTATTTCAGTATGCAGATTTTGATTCTGATCAAGTAATAAACCTGGCAAGGTACAACTTGCCAGGTTATCACTGATTTCCAAGTTCTCCTTCCACTGGATTTCCACCTTTCACTAAGATGTACCAAGGAATAACAGGAAAACTTGGAAGAGCTGGAGAGGCCTTCAATAATTTCGTTTTACTAAGTTGATCTTATTCAGTGAAGGCTAATGCCAAATTTATCCGTCTTTGATTTCAGAATTACAATAGTAGAATACTGAATCATATACAGAAATCTTGATAATAATCTTCTACTTACATCTCATAACATTTATCTTTCCTAACAAACTATTTACAAATGTAAAATATGCAATATTGTTTAAAATAAATATACAATATATAATTTCTACATTCTCAGACAGGATTAAAAATGAGGTAATTTAAAACTTAACTGATTAAACCTTTAACCATTCTGGATATAATGGCTTTGGGAAAGGATGGTGAAATATTTTCTCGTATGTCTTCCCATTTTTTCCTTGAATGCTACTGAGGATCTCCTTTTCTATGTGGAAAATTATGTAAAAAATCCTTCAGCTTTGTTGGATAATCTGTCATCACCCCAGTTGCTCCCAAGTCAAAAGCTCTTTTGTATTCTTGTTCTTCATTTAATACCCAGATATATACCTAAAAATTAGAAGTATGAAAAGTATATGAAGAAATGTTAAAACAGAAAATTATTTCTATAAGAGCACTTATCTACTAGAATCTTACTTTGAAATAACCTTTAAAATATGTAATTTTAAGAAACAATTCTTTCTAGAAATTCCACTTTACTCATTAAGTTTGCAGTTCCTTCCCTCTGATTTTGGCTTTTCTCAAATATACATAAGAGGATTCTGGTTATAGAAATACCAATGTTTTCTTTTTAACTGTGAGGCAGAGTTTAAAGTATTACACTGTGGGCCCTCCCTGGTGGCGTGACAGGTTGAAGCTATCTGCAGCCACTGCAGCACGAGTTCGATCTCTGGTCAGGGAACTGACCCACCTGGCATGGCAGACCTCTCCTGACCTGCCTGCGGCTCCCCTCAGCAGTGTATTTCAGTAGATCTGCCTGTTCTGCTCCCCACTTTGTCTCTGATAGTCCTCTCACACCCTCTACATCTCGCCTGTACCCCAGTTCTTGTATATATAAATAAATAAATCTTTAAAAAATTAACAAAGTGACTATGGTGATGGCACACGGGTGACTCGGTGATGGGAAACCCATGGGGATTACAATTGAGATGAAAAAAACAATGTACAAAATGATGTAAAAATAAACTTATATTATTAAAAAAAATTAACAAAGCATTACAGTCTGAACCAGTAAGTAGTGTCATTAGATTCTGCACCAAATTAAGTTAGTTACAAATTCCTGACCTTAATACTTATGTTAAATTGGCTAACTATGGGATTTCCAAAATTCATCATCCCAGAAACTTACTTGAATGCCTCGGGCAGTAAGGTGGTCAAACAATGCTTTTCTCATTAGTAAACTAGAAAAGAAAGCGGAATAGATTTAGGAACTTCTTAGCCCTAACAAAGAACTAGAATTTAAAAAAAAAAAAAGAATTATTAGTTCTTAGTCCTGATTTACTCAATTTAGAGTTTATAATTCCCAGTCAAATTTAATTCCAATGTTTCAGCAATACCAGCAATAATAAAGGGATGCATTTATTTTAACTGTTGGATCTGCTTTCATAGCTGGATGCTTGCCAGCTGACAACTAGAATCTCCTTTTTTACTTCTTTTTGCCACTAGATCTTCAGGAGACTTATTCTTATTGAAGTAACTCAGTGGCCTCCTCATTTTTCTTGATGGTATCATAACAAGAGAGAAAAAGCTGGAAAGTCACTGTATGTACATACATACTATGGTAGATAGTTGGAAAGTTTTCCTCAAATATTAAAAGTTCCATTTTAAAGCAAGATATAGCATAATAAACTTGTAGTTTTTACCTAAAATTCAACTCAATATTTCTAAGAAATTAAGGTATTTCCTTTAAATTAGATGCCTATGGGCCCTCCCTCGTGGCATGATGGGTTAAAGCATAGCACTGTGAAGCTATCCCCAGCCACTGCAGCAATGAGTTTGATCCCTGACCAGGGAGGTGACCTACCTGGCATGGCAGACCTCTCCTGACCCACCCACTGCTCCCCTCACACTGTATCTAAGTCAACCCGTCTGTTCTGCCCCCTATCATCTCACCACCCCACACCTCTGGCCTGTAACCCAGTTCGTGTATGCATAAATAAATGAATCTTTAAAATATAAAATTAGATGTCTACCCTGTAGGTGGGTCCTCCTTTCTAAATATTGGTGTAATTTTTCTGAACTATATGCCATTAGTGTCAATATACACTTTTACATATACTCTGTTGCTATATACACTGCATTTTACCACTTTTTTGACTACAGCATAGTGGAAAAATCAAATAAATAGAAAGGAATTATAATATATCCAGCTCTGATACTAACTAGCTATGTAATATCAAGTAAATCATTTAACCGTGGATGGGTACTCCATTTTCTTCTGAGGTTGGGTAATACTTTCTCTTAAGATTTCTTCAAATAACAAGTAGGAATCTTGCAATAAATTAAAAGCACAGTATTTAATAAATGCAGCTAAAAAAAATATGTATATATTAGAAAAATAAAATTCTTACGTATCAGAAAGCCAGATGAGAAACTTTTGACTTCTGGATATGGTATGTGGTTCTTTTAGTCTGAGATAAGATTGAATTTGAGTCATAAATTAGAAACACAACAATATGTTAATATGATACAGTAAGTTCAAAACCAAAACAATGTCTTGCACAGTGCCTTGCCCACAAAATATTTGTAAAAGGACAAAAATAAATTAAAAAAAAAATCCATTTGCATTCTGTTTCCGCTGATTTCAGGTTAACTTTTTGCAACCTCTATACCTTGTACCCTGGGACCCTTGGAGCAGCCAGTACTGCCTACCCCTGGAGCTGGGAACAAAGCTGTTGCTTTCCCACCAGGATGAGGGGGCCAAACTTTACCCCTTGATGTCCAGACACCACCCAAGCTGGCAGAGGCTGCATATGAAGTACTGTGGCCTGAATTCTGTTCTTAATCTCCTGAGCAAGGGGGTGGCTAGGAAGAGGCAGAGCTGAGTGGCTATTTCACCTTAAGAGCTCCAAATTCTTTAGATTCAGACGTTACTATAATAAATTACATTTAAATAAGTATCATTATTAATAAGTATCAGACGTTACTATAATAAATTACATTTAAATAAGTATCATTATAGAGGAAGTTATCATTAATAACAATATTTAACATAATTTAACAATAAAAGCTATCATTTATTGGGTACTTGGTATTTGACAGAAAATACTAAGTGATACATATATGTATATTTATGGAACACTTTATAAATTTGCCTATCGTCCTTGGGCTGGGCATATGCTAATTTTCTCTATATTGTTCAATTTTCCAATCTGTAAACACTGTTTTATATATTTTTATCTTTATAGTTAATTAGTATATGAAAAGAAAAGTTTTGTACCTGGTAGAGAAATTATGAAAATGCAGATGTATCTTATCTATGCTCTAGGCATTTTCTGATTGTTGTGGTAGTGGTTGTCTTTCTTCCTAAATACACTAAAATACTGGTGGGTAAATTTGGAGTTTAATGTAACTACAGCTGATTGTTGTTCTTAAAATAGTAGAAGGAAATAAAGGACTGGAGAACAATAGCTATTTGACCTTAGAATAACAGAATTATTATGTTCCAACAATTAAGTTCAGTTTTTTACTTGACTTGAGTCCATAGGCACACAGTCATTGTTACATGAGATCAAAAACTTACTATGAACTCATTTTACAGAATGTGTCTTAGTTATATCAAAGTATTATTAATACAAGTCAGCTAAACAAACATGGAAATGACTATAACAACCTATTCCTTAACATTGATATTGATATTAATGAGCCTTTCTCTTAGTCCCCCTATACTTGATCACTGATGAAAACAGGATAATCACTTACTTCAGCATTATAGAAGGCATTGGAATTTCAAGAAATTGTTCTCGAATGGGCACAAAGGGCAAAAGGCCAGTGAAGAACAGACCAAGAATGAGAAGAACACGTTGCATACTGAAGAGAATAGGAATATCTGGATTCTGAAAGACACAAACAATATTATATGTTACTTTACAACTGATCAAATGAAGAGGACCATTTCATGAACCTCAAAATTTCATAAGGCTGTATTTTGCCATCTGTTAAAAGTACTCCCTGAAGTGATTTGGTGATGGGAAAACCGCGGGGATTACAATTGAGATGGAAAAAAAAAAATGTGCAAAATGATGTAAAAATAAACTTTGTAATAAAAAAAAAGGCCAAAAAAAAAAATTCTAGTGTATAGATGTTGCTCTGAATAATGAAATGCCTCTTTGAAAACACTAAAAAAAAAAAAAAAAGTACTCCCTGAATTATCAATGTCCATACAAAACACACTTCACTACAAAATGGCTAGTCCTTGATAAATGGGTCAGGATCTATCTTGGAGTCCAGCAGAGTAGACTGGTGATACTGAAGTTTCTTTCTCCCCTAGTCTGTTTTTGCAACATTATTTCACTATTTCTGTCTTATCACTGGATTTGAGATTAAGCAATACCAAATCAATGGCACTGAAAAAAAAATGAAGATATGGAATATTCAATGACCCCACTAGTGTTTAAAAAAAATACAATTATATCTATAGATATTCATGTATTTTCTATCTTACTGATATTCACATCTATAGATGTATATGTATAGTTGTATATATTTTAAACAGGAAATGACACAGCAAAAATATATAGAGTAATTTATGTGTTTATTTTAAATAGGATATGATATAGATCAATTATCTATAAGTAGATATTACTGCTGTTGCAAATATGACAACTTTCAGCTACGCTATAGATCAGATATAAATAGAATCTTATAAGCTCCTTCAAGAATCTAACCACCAGGCTTCCCTGGTGACCCAGAGGCTAAAGACGGCACTATCAAGCTGTTGGCCAGCCACTGCAACATGACTTTGATCCCTGGCTAGGGTACTAACACATATGGCACAGCAAATCTCTCCTGTCTTGCCCACTGCTCCCCTCAGCAGTGTATTTCAGTAGATACTGCTCTCCACTGTCTCCAGTCAATCCTCTCACCCCCACACCATTGGCCTACACCACAATTCTTGTATGCATACATAAATCTTTGAAGAAGAAAAAAAAAAAAGAATCTAACAGTCATTTAAAATTTCTATTGGGAGGCTCTTCCTGGTGGCACAACGGGTTAAAGCACTGCATTATGAAGCTCTCCTGAAGCCACCGCAGCAAAGTTTGTTCCCTGCACCCCCAGTACCTCCAACAAGGGAGCTGACTCACATGGCTAGGCATATCTCTCCTGACCAGTCCACTGCTCTCCTCAGCAGTGTATTTCAGTGTATCTGCCTGTTCTGCTCTCCACTCTGTCTCTGGTGAATCCTCTCACCCACCCACAACACTTCTGGCCTATACCCCAGTTTTGTAAGCATAAATAAATAACAATAAAATCTTTAAAATAAATAAATAAAAATAAAATTTCTTTTGGAATGTTCAAGATTCCAAAACACTTAGAATTCAATTTTCATGTATGTACACACACACACACACACACACACACACACACACACCCTTTTCTTGTCAAAGTGAAACTCTATACCTGTTAAACAAATTCCCATACTCTTCTATCACTAATCTTTCCTACTTTTTACTTCATTTTTTAAAAAAGATTTATTTATTGGGCACTCGCTGGTGGTTCAACAGGTTAAAGCACCACATTATAAAGCTCACTGAAGCCACTGCAGCATTTTGATCCCCAGGCAGGGAGCTGACCCACAGGGCGTGGCAGACCTCTCCTGTCTTACCCACCCACTGTACCTCTCAGCAGTGTACTTTGTGAATCTGCCTGTTCTGCTCCCCACTCTGTCTCTGGTGAATCCTCTCACCCACCATACTTCTAGCCTGTACCCCAGTTCTTTAAGCATAAATAAATAAATCTTAAAAAAAAAAAAAGACCTGGGTATGCAAGGGTACTGCAATACAAGACCTGGGGTGCAGGCCAGAGACAGAGAAGGGATCAGAACAGGCAGATTTACTGAAATACATTGCTGAGAGGAGCAATGGGCAAGACAGGAGAGATCTGCTGCACCATATGGATTAGTTTCCTGGCCAGGATTGAACTCATGCCACAGTGATAGCTTGATAATGTTGAAACTTAACCTGTGTCACCAGGGAGGCCGCCTGGCATTCGTTTTTTTCTTTTTTTTAAGTGTTCAAAAATTCCATTATACAGCCAAGTTTAAGAACCAGTACATTAATATGAGTAAATAAAAAAGTCATTAAGTAAAAAATAAGTCCCAATTATTTTCCCATCACCACTGTGTACCCCACATTATTTTTGTTTTTTAATTTCTATCATCTGGGAATTAAGTAGCTTATGTAAAATTTTTGTAAATCATACTTAAGAACTGTAAATGATGACTGATTTAGTTATACAGCATCCCATAGTATGAATGGCAAATATTATTCAGGTACTCTTACTATGATATTTGAAATTACTGCTGAAAATAGAGCTTTTACATTCTAAATGACAGAAAGTTAGAGCTTCTGGAAAAAATATGTGAGTCAAGAAGAAAATTCTGGGGTTATGGGCTAAAAGTGAACTTTATATTTTGAAATAATTATAGATTCACAGGAAGCTATAAAGACATAAACTTCCCATGCATCCTTAATCAGCTGCCCCAAGTAATACTGTATCCAAACCAGGAACAAACAAGTGTAATTACAGACCTAATTTTTTTTTCACCTTTTTTTTTTTTTTTTACATTTTCAAAGGATAAGTTTATTAGGAAAAGGAGAACAGATTGCTGCTGCTGCTTTTGAAAGAAAACGGTTTGTGACACTTTTTTTTAACCTGTGTTCATCAGCACATTTGCATAGTTTAGTGCAATTTTAACACATGTATAGATTAATGTAACTACCACAATCAAGATACAGAACTGTTCTATCACCAACCAAGAACTCACTCATGCTTCCTCTTAGTATTTGTACCCACTTTCCATCCCACCCCTGATGCCTGTAATCTAGAGCTCTCTAATCTCCATACTACAGCTTTGAGAATATTATAAAAATGAAAGCTTTTGTAATCTTTGGGATTTAATTTTTTTCACTAAAAAAAATGTCCTCAAGGACAATCCAGATAAATGCAGTATAAAGAGTATATCCCCTTCTATTGATGAGTAGCATTATATAATATGTTGTATGTTGTTTTATGTTCTATGTTGTTCAGTCATTTACTGCTGAAAGGATATTTGGGTTGCCAGAATCTTTGCAATTAAGAATAAAGCTGCTATAAACATTCATGTAAAGGTTTTTCTGTGGGTAAGTTTTCATTTTCCATAAACAATACCTAGGAATAAGTGTGTTGGTTAATATGGTAAGTGTATATTTATATTTCTGGTAAATTTATTTAGTAAATACTTATATTTTGGTATATATATTTGTATGTAATAAGTATATAAGAAACTACCCAAATAAATAAGAGAATGGCTGAATTGTTTAACACTCTCATCAGTGATATATGAAAGATCTATTGTCTCCTCACCTCCTCAGGCATTTGCTATTATCAATACTTTTAATCTGAAAAAATTTTTTGAATGATGTAAAAAGATCAGCAGGTCATAGAGTCTATAGCACATATATTCCTTTTAATGATGTGAAAGTACCATCCGATAATGATTAGTTATGGAAAAGATTTAAGTATTAAATTTGTAAGGATTTGAAGCCACTCAGTACAGTTACTATTCTGCTCTCTCCTTTTGTAGATAAGATTCTTAGGATCTCACAGATCTTGCTACAAAGAGAACATACTTGCCTTAGTGGGGTTCTCAGTCGTACTTCTAATTGTAATAGTGCAAATCTTGGATCTATGTTTTTGCCTTCTTTGCTAGGGAGAAAGGCCTCAAAAAAATTTTTTTTTCTTACATCTTAGGATTTCCTCAAGAGATTTTTTCTGCAATTGTATATTGAAACAATCTTCTGTGCCCAAGTTTTTTAAAATATCTTTTTTAATATTTTGAGCTTCAAGTTCTCTTAGCTGATAATGTAGCTACACTTGCTTATAGAAGGTTAGCATACAATTTCAAAATATATTAAATTAACTTTAATAAGTATGTTTTCTTCAAAAAGAAAATTTTCAGTAAGTAGAAAGCTCTACTTTTATGTACTACCTGATAATCATGATTCTAGCTTAATGTGAATAAGTCTATTTGGCATACTCAGTAAAGAGAAGTTTGGGCAGCAGAAGTGAAGAATTTAATAATTCAAAGTTACACACAAAAATTACAATTACCTAACAAAAAAACGACAAATATTACAACTACCTAACAACACAAAAAGACATTAAAATAATCATATTTTGTTTTGTAATGGACACAATGTTGGTGAACAACAAATATAAGCATGTGAAAATCATAATTCTGTGGATACAGGCCATTACATTGAACTGAAATTACATTAATGCTAGTTAAACTACAAGTTACATCAATGACTGGTTCATAGGAGTTCACTTTTATTCATGACTGAGATATGACAACTCACTATTAAATCCATTATTACTATAAGTAAACTTCTGATTGATTGCTCTTATCCAGTACTATCTTCCTTTAAATCAAGACTATGAAATAAGATAATTCTTAAAGTTATTACAGTAATAAATTATCACCTGTAGATACAGAAAAACAGCAAAAATAGACTTGGAATCACTTTTTGAGCTTACCTCTTTGTAGCACTTTTCTACAATTTCATAGCTGGCATTACCCCACACTGTTAAGTGTTCTCGTCTGTACTGTTTCACCAACTCTGAAACCTATATGGGAAAATTCAAAATTTTATGCATGTGCCTATTTGTAATTATTTCACTTAAACAGGATTTATAACTACCAGTGAACAGAACATCTTGGAACATGGATATATATATATATATATATATATATATATGTACACACACACATACATACATACATACATACAGATTCTTTTATAAAAATACAGGAAAATTGGGCCCTCCCTGGTGGCTCAATGGGTTAAGATGCAGCACTGCAAGCTAGCTGCAGCTGCTTCAGTGCAAGTTCAATCCCCACCCCGGAGGTGATCCACATGGCTGGCAGACCTCTCCTGATCAGCCCGCTGCTCCCCTCAGCAGTGTACTTCATAGATCTGCAGATCTGCCTGTTCTGTTCCCCACTCTGTCTCTGGTGAAGCCTCTCACTCCCCACACCTCTGGCCTGTACCCCAGTTCTGTATGCACATTTAAATCTTTTTAAAAATAGGAAAATTATTCACTCTTTACTATTATATACTTTACCTAGTAGGACAAGACTGTTGGTGTGCAGTTTGACACAACTTTTTTAATTTTTATTTTATTTTATTTTTACCTCATTTTGTGCCTTTTTCCATCTCAGTTGTAATCCCCATGGGCTTCCCACCACCAATTCACCCATGTGCCACCTGAGTCTCCCTTTCCATTTTTGATCCCATTCCCCATTCCACCCCCACAAAATGTCTCTAATATATAGCTGTTCATTATTATTATTATTTTCTCCCTTGGTCCTTTATACTCCTGCTATGAGTGAAGTCATCCAGTATTTTTCCTTTTCTTTCTGGCTTATTTCACTAAGCATGATCCCTTCCAGCTCCATCCATGTTGCTGCAAAAGGCACGAGTTTATCTTTTTTGATTGCTGAGTAATATTCCATTGTATATATGTACATCCTTTTAATCCAGTCATCTACTTTTGGGCATTTGGGTTGATTCTATGTCTTTCCTATTGCAAATAAAGCAGCAATAAACAAGGGGGTGCATATGTCTTTTGCATTAATTAGTGTTTTTGTGTCTTTTGGGTAGATACCTAGAAGTGGGATTGCTGGGTCATATGGAAGCTCCATTTTCAGCAGCCTGAGAAACCTCCAAATAGTTTTCCATAGTGGTTGTACTAGTTTACATTCCCACCAGCAGTGCAGGAGAGTTCCTTTTTCTCCACATCCTCACCAACATTTGTTGTTGCTAGTTGTTTTAAGATGTGCCATTCTCACTGGTGTGAGGTCGTATTTCATTGTAGTTTTAATTTGTATTTCCCTTATTACAAGTGATGTTGAACATTTTTCATATGCTTGTTGGTCATCTACATTTCCTCTTTGGAGAAGTGTCTTTTTAGCTCTTTTGCCCATTTTTTCATGAGGTTCTTTATTTTTGTTCAGTTTTATTAGTTCTTTGTATATCTTTGTGATCAATCCTTTGTCACTAGTTTTGTGGAGAAAATTATTTTCCCAGTCAGTGAGCTGTCTGCTTGTTGTTTGTAATGTCTCTTTTGCTATACAGAAGCTCTTTAACTTGATGCATTCCCATCTGTTTATCCTGTCCTTCACTATCGTTATGTTAGGTGCTGTATCTTCAAAGATGTTATTGAGGTGTGTATGTTGTGTAGTGTTTTGACCATCTTTGTTTCCAGGTATTTTATGGTTTCCATTCTTATGTCTAGGTCTTTAATCCACTTCGAATTGGTTTTTGTACATGGTGCAAAGTAGTGATCTAGTTTCATTTTTTTGCATGTAGCTTCCCAGTTTTCCCAGCACCATTTGTTAAATAAACTTTCTTAATTCCATTATATCTTCTTTGCTCTTTTGTCAAAGATTAGCTGTCCATAACCTGTGGGTTTATATCTGGGTTTTCTATTCAGATGCATTAGTCTGTGCTGACACAACTATTTTTTAATTTGACATATACATATACTAGTTGCAATTACAGCTAGTTAAACTAGAAGTTACATAAACGCCAGAATGATTGGTGTATAGGAACTCACTTTTATCCATAACTGAGACATGACAACTCACTTTGAAAATAAGTTTTCCTACAGTAACGTGATCTCTCCGACCAAGGCATTATTTAAAACAATACTGATCTTTAACATGTCATATTTCCTTGAACATTATATAACAACCTATGCAGTCAGCTACTCTAGCCTCTAATTTAGTTTGTGAAATCTGATGCCATACACCCAGAGAAAGCAATGCTTTAAAAAGTACCTTCTTAATCAGCAAATTGTTGTTGACTTTGATATCGATGTTAATGGCAGTGTTAGGAAAGGCCTCAAAAACTTCTTTCAGTAATGGAATTCGCTTATCTTTTCCTTCACATTGGCATTCTGAGAAAGTAAGATTTTTTAATGCATTTCTTAAAGGTAACTTTTACTTTTCTAGTATTATTCACAATTAAGACACTTACAAAATGATGACAACTATAAAGAAAAGGAAAATCACCAAAAAATGTAACTTAGATATAACCATTGTGAATAATTGGTGTACTTTATCTTTTCCTACTAAATACAATATAATCCACCTACAAATTTTAACCTGATATTTCACCAAAGTAAAAATAAGTAGTTCATGTTGATATACTGTCTTTATATAAATTTAAAATATTTTCATTAAGTTTAATAATAAAATAAATCTTTTATTCCCCCTCAAGTAAGTATGAACTGGCTACTGTTTCTTAAAATGGTCTAAATTGTTACTTGTAAGTTTAAAGTCAACATTTTAGTTTAGTACTATACAACATGGTAGCCACAAGTTACACAGAATTTAAAAAATTAAAAATTTGGGTGCTCCCTGGTGGCGCAGCGGGTTAAACCACAGCACTAAGAAGCTAAAGCCACTTCCGCATGAGTTCAATCCCCGCCTGCCCCTGAGGTAATCCATATGGCGAGGCAGACCTCTCCTGACCCGCCTGCTGCTCCCCTCAGCAGTGTACTTCATCAATCTGCCCATTCTGCTCCCCACCCTGTCTCTGGTGAAGCCTCTCACAGTCCCTGCACCTCTGGCCTGTACCCCAGTTCTGTATGAACAAATAAATAAATCTTTAAAAAAAAATTAAAAATTCGGTTGTTCAATTGCACTAATAATATCTCAAGTGCTCAGTAGTCATATATGACTATTGGCTATTATAGTGGACATTACAAATAAAGAACATTTCTATTACTATAGAAAGTCTATTTAGACAGTGCTATTCTAGTTAAGTAAAAATTCTATTAGCTTCTCGTGTGTAGAAAAATCAATTTAGCCATCAAAAGACAACCATGGGGCAATAGTTATTCACACCCAAATAAGATATATGGCTGAATCAACTTAGAAAAATACAAAATTGACAAAGCCAACTTTGTAAAAGTAAAATGACACATTACATGGTAAGAACAATATTGCATCTAATTGTGACTGAAAAAATAGGAAATCAAAATGTATGCTAAGAAAAAAAATGTGCTAAGCAAATGTGAAGATAATTAAATTGGATGCTTCAGTTGACACAGAATGTAGAAAAAGAACTGGAAAAAGGATTTGCCTTGGTACTGTTCTGGGTAGAGAATAACCCGGGGAAATGGTGGGGGCGACGGTGGGAGGCACCACAGAAAGGAAATGAGGAAAATCACAGGAAAAGAAGAATGTTTAGCAAGAAGCATGCTGTTGGGTATATTAGGTGGTGGAATGAGTGAAGTGTCCTGTAGAGCATGCTAAAACTTTAAATTGATCATTATAGTCAACTTTAGAACATGTAAATAACATATTTTCTATGAAATAAAAAGACTACATTCAAATAAACAGGTTTAGATGATAACAAACCCTTTGATAACACTTTTTCCCAAACTTCTTCACATTTACTTTTTAATGTAGCCTGTAGTACATTAAAAAGCACCTTAAAAAAAAAAAGAACAATTACTTCTTCAATTAAGTTGCAAACCACAAAGAAAGCAAGAGGGCTAACATGTGTATGCCATTGAGAGTTGATAGTTTCTTTCTTTAGTACTTAAAGAGTTCTGAGCATAGGAACAGGAACTTAACTTTTTACCTAACATGTGTTGAGTTTTTAATAGTACTATATATGTCTGTTTCCAATATATATGTCTGTTTCAAATAGTAAAGTTCACATCTAGGTTAATTATGATATGAGTTGAATGCAATATGAAAACTGTTCTTTTTAGTTTTATGAAACTTGAGCATATAAGGTACTGATAAATGACATGTGCAGAGACTCTTTAGATGGAGAAGTAGTATGCTGTAGTCAAATACTAGTCTGATAAGAAAAGACCTAATATTAAGTCCTAGTTATGTCATATACTTGCATTATGACCCTAATTGAATTAATTTACTAGTTAGTTTCTTTATTACAGAAAGATTAGATGGACTCAAAGGTCTTTTCACATTAAACATTTTATGAGTTTATGAACGTGGTATAAAACCAGAAAAAATTAAAACCTTTTTCTTCTCAAAGGATCTTTTTATCTTTTAATCTTTAGACTTTAACTTTGTTCTACAAAGGGAAAAATAGGAAAAAGTTCATTTATGAAATTGTTAATCTACCCAAGCCCAAAATTGACACCCAACTTAATGATATTTACCTGGAAGGCAAAAATCAAACATCTGAGGTAAATATTTCTTAGAGATAGCTAATTTAAACAATTTCTGATTTTTATTTGACTTTCCAAAATTTCTCAATCAAGGAGAAATTACAATGGCCAATTTTAAGTATAGCTCACAGCGCAGTTATAGTCTGGAAAATTAATATCAACAGTTCCTTAACATTTAACCAAGTTTTCAATGATATACTATATATATATATATATATATATGTGTGTGTGTGTGTGTGTGTGTGTGTATATATATATATATATATGTGTATATAGCATCATGTGGTTTTACTAAATTATACTTGAGACACTTCAGAATTGTGATAGTGAAGGAGCATTTGTGCTTAGCATCTATATCTCAAAGTGGCATATTTTCTATTCTAACATAGTAACACATTGGGTCTCCAGGAATATGTTTCTTTGTGAGAAGTATTCACTTAAAAGAAAGAAAACTACCATGTTGTTGATTAAAAAGTAAGTATTAGTAGGAATACATGGTCATTTGAGTTACAGAATTCTTTATAATGATTTAAAATATGGAGTGCCTAAATGACATACAATCAAATGTCATAGAATCAGAAAGGATCTATAAGTAATCCTTTCAATTTCTTCTCATTTATTTATTTATGATGAATAGCCATTACAAACTAAAGTAATACACTAGAATTAGAAGCTTCAGAGAAACAAAGTATCCCTAATAATATAGGGGTTTCTTGTAATTAGTGCTCAGGCTTGGATTAAGTATATATAAATTTATAGTAACTGGTTTTTTGAATAAATGTATGAAACGTGTATATAAATTTAAATAGAATAAATCAGTTAAATCGTTGTTCTTTATTACCACAGGGTCAAAATTTCAGATTTGTAGGCCTGAGAAAGTAAGTCTTAAGGATAGTACTTTTAAATGAAAGTAACTATACTACATATATCTATTTCTCACATAAATGAATATACATTAATGTGGATGTTTAAGTTGCAAGCAGGAAATATTACCTCTTTGGAATGTGACATCAAGTTTGTCAAGGTAAGGTGGAAGTTCCTTCAAAAGATATAATAGAAAAAAGTTAAACTCTCAAAAATTGAAAAGCTTTTAGTGTCTAATATTAAGAGATAAATATTTGCTTCTTAAAAAAATAGAAACACAAATATTATAAAAGTTTACATAAGGTACCTGTTAGCAGAATATCCTTAAATAACTATATAATTATTTTCACAGCCTACAAGAAATTGGTACTATTTAATATGAAGCTCTCCTCAATAATAATTATAATGAGATCTCAGACAAATGTCAAGAATAGAAAATATAAAGAAAATAAATAGAAATCATATAGAAAATTCTCTATGTGAATATAATAATTATGTTCATATTAATAAATCAAAGTCTAAATACAATTCAACCTAACAAGCTAATAAGTTTTGGTAATGCTCAATAATGGTATACAACAAAAATCAGAATTCTACTAAGGGGTTTCCCTGTGGCAGCGGGATTAAGTCTCAGCACTATTATGCTATTGCCACTATGGCCTGAGTTTGATCCCAGCCAGGGTGCTAACTGACATATGGTGCAGCAGACTTCTCCTGTCTGGCCTGCCTCTCCCACTCTGTCTCTGGTGAATCCTCTCATCCCCTGCACCTCTGGTCGATTTCTACACCCCAGTTTTTGTGTGCATAAATAAATACATAAATTTTTAAAAATAGAATTCTACTAATATCAGACTTTTAGAGCTATTTTAAATACTTTTCAAAGCAAGCAGGTAATAAATAGCAACTTTCATATATATTAAGACACTATGATATTCCTAATATTTTACCAATTATTTCCCAGTTGAGAGGTTATTTAGGGAAATAATTTTAAATACAGAGAAAACTTTATAAAAATTCTTTTGAGAAAAATATAAACATTTTTATGTTTTTATAAATATATGTATCTTTTAAGTAACTTTAGGTATCTATAGAGAAAGTTTTATCTCAACAATATCTTTCAGTACAGTAAAAATATGGAACTAGTCAAATGTCCAAGAATAAAGGAAATGTTAAAAATACACATTCACTCGGCCCACCCTGGTGGCGCAGTGGGTTAAAGCACAGCACTAAGAAGCTGAAGCCACTTCCGCATCAGTTCGATTCCTGCCTGCCCGGGAGGTGACCACATGGTGTGGCAGACCTCTCCTGACCCACCCGCTGCTCCCCTCAGCAGTTTACTTGTCAATCTGCCTGTTCTGCTCCCCTCTCTGTCTCTGGTGAAGCCTCTCACCGTCCCTGCACCTCTGGCCTGTACTCCAGTTCTGTATGCACAAATAAATAAATTTTTTAAAAAAAGAAATAGCGATCCTTAAAAAAAAAATACACATTCACTCAATGAAATATTTATGAAAAATAAGCATGGACTCTGGAAAGATTAGATATGTATGATTCCAATTCTATAACATACGGAAAAAGACAAAACTATGGAGACAGTAGAAGGGTCAGTGGTTGTCAATGTTTATAGTGGTTGGAAGGATGATTAGGTGAGGCACAGAAAACTTTTAGGTCCATGAAACTATTCTGTATGATACTGTAATAACTGGATACATGGCAGTCTATGTTAGTCAAAATCACAGAACGTGCTACATGTAGCATGAACCCTAATGTAAACTATGGACTTTGGGTGATGATGATGTGCCATTACAGATTCAATTATAAGAAATTTACCACTGCGATGCAGGATGTTGAAAGTAAGGAAAGTTGTGCCTATGTGGAGTAAGAGGTTATATGAGAATTCTTTGTATTTTCTGTTCAATTTTGCTGTGAGCCTATTAAGTGCTCTAAAAAATTAAAGTCTATTAAAAAAAGCATGGAAAAATGTGTATAATGCCATGTTAGTGTTTAAAAACATGATATACATAATATACTGTGAGATCACAACTATAAACATATAGGTATACATACAGTTAGTATTCTATTGTTTTCTTTAAGTGATTAAAGCAGGCACTGTTTTGCAAACTAGTACTACCACAATAAAAAGAAAAAGCAATGTTAAATAAAAGCCACATTCATGGGCACAGTATTAAACATTTTATATGTTGCAAAAAATAGCTGTAAGCTATTTGGAAATACTAATATAAATAAATAATTGCAATTATATGGTTATAGTATGCAAGTAAATTCAAAGGGAGGCAAAATATCTGATTTTTAGTCATAAATAGTTATTTCACTGATTTGAAATTACTCAGAATTATATACTGTTGAGTATGTTTGTCACAGCATTGACCAATGGGGGATAGGATGGCACCAGAGTATGTGTGTCATCCTAATTCTCAAGTCAACCTTAGTTCTATTGCATCTAGTTGTGTATGAGACATGAAGTTTATATCACAAAATTCTACGACCATGCAGAATTAATACATGTCAACATACTCATATTTTGAAATAAATAAAACATTACAATCTGATAAAAAAATAGGCATTTTTTTCTTCCATTATCAATATTTACTATAACACAATACTGTGTATGCAAACTACTAACATAACATTTTAAGGGTATTTTTCTATACTTGAAGACTAAAGTTAATATATGCATATATTTAATCCAAATAAAATAAATTTTATAGTTTTACATTTGAGGACTTTGGTAATTTTGTTAAAAATGTATCAGAAGGGCCCTCCCAGGTGGCGCAGTGGGTTAAAGCACAGCACTAAGAAGCTTAAGCCACTTCTGCATGAGTTCGAGCCCTGCCTGCCCCGGAGGAGATCTACATGGCAAGGCAGACCTCTCCTGACCTGCCCGCTGCTCCCCTCAGCAGTGTACTTCGATGATCTGCCTGTCCTGCTTCCCTCTCTGTCTCTGGTGAATCCTCTCACCCTCTGCATCTCTGGCCTATACCCCAGCTCTATATGAATAAATAACTAAATCTTTAAAAAAAATGTATCAGAAAAAGTCTCCTAAAATATATCCATCAAAATATATATATATATCCATAGATGTATACAGTGAATACAAATTTTATTGGAAGTCAGGTTAGTTTTATGTTTCCTTTGACATTATTTGATCACTTATATTCATTTTTTATTATTGAAGCACCACATGGCATTCACTTTTTTAAAATATTACAGGTATTACTATCTATTAGATATTAGTTTATTATGTATTTTTACTTACACAGTATTTGAGATCAGAGATATTTACATTGATCCCAGTTGACCTTTTCAAATTCTCATCATGTGACACTACAACTTGTTCATCTTTTGTGATATGGCAGTCCAACTCCAGCATATCAGTTCCAATTGTAACTGCACTAAAGAAATAGAGAAGAGAATAACCTTCTAAACATAAACATTTAGGTTAATGCATCAGATAAAAGAATTTGGAGTTACAAAACAAAATAACAAAAAATTCATAACAATAAAATTTCTCCTTAACACTGTAATCTATTGTGATTTCTTGATGTGAATATATTCAAAGTGAATTTAGAATGAGAGGATCATGTTGCCTATTTTTTATAAACAGCTATCCTTAGCTCTGGCAACTCAGTATGATCTAAAGAACACTGGATCAAACTTGGGTACCAGTTTCTGCCTTCCCTATGATCTTGCTGTGTCACTTTAGGCAAGCAAATGTCTTTCTCTGAGCCTGCAGTTCCACATGTATAAAATGAAAAAACTGAAAAACAAGAAAAGGATGCTGGCTTTTGACACTTTAATTCCATATAGGATTAGAAGTCTAGTCAGAGCAATTAAACAAGCTTTAAAAAAAGGCACCCAAATTGGAAAGACATAAAAATAACTCTACTTACATAGGACATATGATCAACTAACAAACACACACACAAAAATTACTTTGACTACAGTTGATATTTTACAATAGCATTAGAAGAATAAAATACTTAGAGATTAATTTAAACAATGAGGAAAAACATTTGTACAAAGAAAGCTACAAACATTGCCAAAAGAAATTAAGAAGAAATACATAATAGAAAGAAATCTACATGTTTATGGACTGAGACACTTACTAATGGTAAAATGTAAATACTACATTGATGTATACATTTAATGCAATTCCTATCAAAATCCCAATGATTTTTTTTACAGAAATAGAAAAATCCATCCTAAATTCAAAGGGAATCTCAAGAATTTCCAAATAATCAAACCAGTCTTAAAAAAGAACACAATTGGGAAGCTGACATTTCCTGATTTCAGTACTTACTACAAAGCTACAATAATCACAACAATGTGGTAATGGCATAAAGGCAGACATACAGGCCAATGAGGCTGCATAGAGTCTAGAATTCTATAAATCCTCACACGTATGGTCAAATAATTTTTGACAAGGGTGAAGAGACCATTCAATGGGGGAAAAGGCAGTCTTTTCAATAAATGGAGCTCAGACAACAGAACATTAGTATGTAAGAGACTAACTCATTTCAAAAGTAAACTCAAAATGGATCAATGACCAAAACCTAAGATCTAGAACACATAAACTCCTAGAAGAAAGCAGTCAAGAAAAGATTCATGACATTGGACTGGCAACCATTTTTTTTTATATAAGGACAGACCACAAAAGAAAAAAAAATAGACAAGTTAGACCCTATGAACAAAATAAAAGGGAAAAATGGGAGAAAATGTCTGCAACCCATCTATTTAAAATACTTGCACCTAAATTGTATACCATGATATATGAGTTCTTAAAACTCAAAACCAAAAACAAATGTAAAAATGGACAAAGGATCTGAGTAGTGCATTTGACTGCACAAATGAGCAAAGGAGGGGCCTCCTTGGGACACAGGGGTTAAAGTCTGAGCACTGTCAAGCTATAGCCAGCCACTAGGCCAGACAGGAGTTCAATAAGCCCAGGAAGCTGACCCATAGTGCAGCAGACCTCTCCTGCCTCGTCCACTGCTTGCTCTCAGCGGTGTATTTCAGTAGCTCCACCTGTTTTGCTCCTCAGTCTGTCTCTGGTGAATCCTCTTACCCCTGGCACCTCTGGCCTACACCCAGTTCCTGTATGCACAAATAAATAAAATATAACCTTAAAAAAATTAGCAATGGAATTGAACAGCTATTTCTCCAAAGGATATGTTTCAATAAGCAAATGAAAAGATGCTCAACATCACCAAGCTAGAGAAATGAAATCAAAACTACAATGAGATTCCACATTGGGTGATGGTTATAAACAGGAACAGATTTGTTAAAAATGTAGGGCCCTCCCTGGTGGCACAGTGGGTTAAATCACAGCACTAAGAAGTTAAAGCCACTTCAGCACGAGCTCGATTCCCACCCACCCTGGAGGTGATCCACATGGCATGGCAGACCTCTCCTGACCGCCCGCTGCTCCCCTCAGCAGTGTACTTCCTCAGTCAGCCTGTTCTGCACCCCACTGTCTCTGCTGAATCCTCTCGCCACCCCTGCACCTCTGGCCTATATCCCAGTTCTGTATGCACAAATAAATAAATCTTTAAAAAAAAATGTATTGAAGCATCTGGGTGAAGCATGTGGTGGGGAATGGAAATTTATTGGGTAGTATGTTTACGATGTGTGCATTTTACTGAATGTGTATTATACACACTACAAGTACCATATTTCAAAGAATCTTCAAAGAATAAAGTATAAAAATTTAGCTGAATGAAAAGAGTAAGAAGTATGACTTCACTGATGTAAAATAAAGTTACACATAACTTATTTTAAAAGACCAGAAACTTGCCTCCCTGCAACAAGTTAAGCTGCAGCACCATCAAGCTATTCAAAGCCAGTGAAGCATAAGCTTGACCCCTGGCCAGGGAACTGACCCACATGGTGCAGCAGACCTCTTTTGTCTCTCCTGGTGGTCCCCTCAGCAGCATGTTTCAGTAGATCTATCTGTTCTGCTTCCCATTGTCTCTAGTGAATCCTCTCAGTCCCCCCCCACCCCCCGGCCTATACCCTCCACCTCTGTCCTCTCTGTCCTACACCCCCATTCTTTTTTTTTTTTTAAAGATTTTATTTATTTTTACATAGAAGTACTGGAGTAGTTTTTAAGATTTATTTGAAAAATATTTTCTATTTATTGTGCATTTACCTCTTATCACAAAATTATATAATAAATAAAAATTCAGATAGCTTTTCAGCCTTTTGGCTGAGATCAAGTGTAACTAGTAAAAATTTAAGCAATAAGTAAGTATATCTGGGACAATCCGTAAAAAATTATCTTAATGAAATCATTCCAAATTTGATAGACAAATAGAACACAGTGATGAAAGAAAAAAAATTATCATTTTGCCTTCAAATTTTTCCATAAATAGCAATATGCAAAAAAAAAAAAAGCAATATGCACCTATACTACTGAAACACCAAATATTTTATTAAGAATTTCTGACAAGTTAATGACAAATAAAAGAAAAAATTTAGGGACACCAAGGTTTCAACATTTCCAGAAAAAGAAATAAAAACTCTACTTCTAAAAGAAGATGTGAAATAATTTGAAACTCTTTAGAAACAAAGCTTAACAACTTAGACTCTTTGTTAAGGAACTTATTTTAATCTCCTTTATTCCTAACATGAGTATTCCCATTTCATAGACCAGATAATTAGTATTATATTATTTTCCCATTTAATAGATAATTAATATTGTATTAATTAATTATTCCAAAATATGAGAATCAGGTCACTAATTTTGATTCTCTGCCAACTTACACTTCCTGTTATTGCTAATACAATTTGCTTCTCTCTCTTACCATTCATGTTAATACCACAGGGATCAAGTTGTCCTATGGGTATCTACAAAGACAGCCTGGTTTAATAACCTAGTTTTATTAGCTCTTAAGAACCAGATTTTACATACTCAAGGGCTTAGTGACTGTGTAAGTGTATGTGTGTGTGTAATGAAATTCCTTAGTCCTTGCTTCTTTCTTTGGTAAGGTTTGTCTCCTTCACCTTTCTTCTGCTAATAATATTCTTTGTTCTTTTCCATATCTATTTTAGTAAGGAACTAGTGAGAGCTCAGTAGGCCCAGAGCTAGGTCTTAGTGAGTGGGAGATTAATAAGGTAAGATTCTTGCTCCCAAGCTATCACAGAATAATAATATTCATAACCCAAAGTGTTCATTAAAGCATTTTATAAGTATACAAAAGGGCTTATTATAAATTGTGAGATGCGGTTATATGTCAGTTCTAATGACTACTTTAGCTTCACTAGAACAGAATGAATCAATATTCCATATAGTAAGGCCCTTTCAATTTTCTAGACATACCTGGTCAATATATCCCCAAATCTTAATCTCAAACATTTCACATTTTAAAAGTATTTTTCTTCCTGTCTATTAAATGATAGTTCTTCTAGTCTTGGTATCTTCTCCATTTTCTAGTTAATCTTAACCAGGCTTCTTACAACAACTATCTACACTTACTTCAATTTCTTTTAGTTTTTATCTCCAACTCATGATAATATGCATTTTGAAATATACCTAAATATGTACATCATTATATTTACAAAATTATATCATTATATTTCTCTCTCCCTTAATTACTTATCTTATGAAGGATATTCTATACTTAAGTACAGTATCTGTCTTTTGCCAATTACATATAATTTTTTTTTTTTTTAAGATTTATTTGTGCATACAGAACTGGGGTACAGGCCAGAGGCTCAGGGGCGGCGAGAGGCTTCACCAGAGACACAGTGGGGAGCAGAACAGGCGGATCGATGAAGTACACTGCTGAGGGGAGCAGCAGGCAGGCCAGGAGAGGTCTGCCTCGCCATGTGGATCCCCTCCGGGGCAGGCGGGAACCGAACTGATGGGGAAGTGGCTTTAGCTTCTCAGTGTTGTGCTTTATTTAACCCGCTGCGCCACCAGGGAGGGCCCACATATAACCTTTTAAATATATGGCATCTTGAAAATGTATGTTTAAATTATTTTCTTGTTGCAGGTGAAGCAGACATGGTTTTTAAAAATCATCAAATTACCCTAGCAGTTAAAAAACAATAGGGCATTTGTAAGTCTTTTGATAGCAAGAACACTGATGCATAAAACAAAACAAAAATTATGAACAATAACAAAAAATTATTTTAAAGATTAAAGGTAAAGACTGAGTTAGGTTTTATATAAATTGCAAAGTAAATTAACAAGCAGCTGTACAAATAAAAACATCTAGCAAACACTAATAATATGGAAGTAATAGAAAGCCTCCAAAAAACTAGTTACAGAAAGTTACCACATAATGTTCCAAGAAGGTTGTGATAACTTTTCAATAACTACTGCTTGAATAAAGCAATATAAATAAACATTAGGAAAAATATAATGTCGTATATAGCAAGGAAAAACCATCTAGACTACACATTTCTTTAATAGCAAAAAAATTGTCAGAGGATCAAAATCTTCAAAGATAAAAAATACTTATGTAACATTCTTCCTTAAAAAGTAATTATTCTGGCCCTCCCTGGTGGCGCAGCGGGTTAAAGCACAGCACTGAGAATCTAAAGCCACTTCCTCATGAGTTCGATTCCCGCCTGCCCCGGAGGTGACCACATGGCCTGGCAGACCTCTCCTGACCCGCCCGCTGCTCCCCTCAGCAGTGTACTTCGTCGATCTGCCTGTTCTGTTCCCCACTCTGTCTCTGGTGAAGCCTCTCACCGCCCCTGATCCTCTGGCCTGTACCCCAGTTCTGTATGCACAAATAAATAAATCTTTAAAAAAAAAAAAAAGTATTTATTCTTAGAAATAGCTTAGCCCACAACCCAATGTTTTAATTTTGTAAATATGGGTCGCTGGTCAAAACTTTAACAAAAACATGGAGGAAAATTTATAAAATAATAATATATATCAAACATAAAGAATGCTAAAATCACTCATATTTATGAGTATTTTCTACTGAAGTCATATATATCATCCCAGAAAACAAATATTTAATAAATGATAGCAGTGTGTCTATGTGGAGATTGTATACATAAAATTTTCACATATGTATATATAGGTATGTTACATATATATGTATATATGTCTGTTGGTATAATGATAGCTAGCTAGTCAGCTTGTTGATCTTAGTGGAGAAGATGACTAATTTTATTTAATTTAAAGTATTCTGTTTCATTTTCTGTGACAGGAGTTAAGATTTGCTTTTGAGATTACAGTCAGAAAGCATTGTATTACAGAAGAGGAAGAGTGAACAATGACACATACAGGATGGGATTTAGATGAAACTAGAATATGGAGAAACAGTATCTTTGAAACTGATTATAGGAAAAATAATCTCTAAGGAGTCCTCGTATGATGAGAAGTAGAACAAAAACTTAAGCCAAATTCTCCTAATTTTTCAGCCCTACTTACTTAATAGATTACTCAAAAATTAGACAAAATGTTATTTCTTACTAAAAATGGGATTTAACTTTTCACATTCTCTGTCTTAGTTTTCAGAGACAAGGAGACATCATTACCACAGACTGATGATAATCATTTAAAACAGAGAACAATATATCAATTAGCTTTCAATCCCATCTCTCCTGCTGCTTCTGAGAGATGTTCTAAAAGTTAGCTATATCAAACATGAATAATTTACAAATAAAAAAACATTTATTTACTTATTTTTTAAAATAAAATAAAAACTTTTAAGGTGTCAAAAAAGAAAGGCCAGATTATAGGTTCAGGTCTGTACAAGAATTACTGGGTAGACACATAATCCTATTCATAAACAACAGCCAATATAACAGTTGTTTCATTTTCTCTTTCTCTCCAAGACTAATTAGCATTACACACAGTGTGTTCCTTGTTACAAATGTCTTCTTTCAGCTTTGGAACTATAGTATCTTTTGATTATCCAAAACTGATCCAGGTTTTCAGCTATGCAGAAGCTGAACATTCTCAGTTAATACTTCAGATTAATTAAATAAAAAGTGATTTTAATAAAATAGAAACACCTATCACAAATGGATGCTGCATGTGTACTACCTTCACTTTGTAAGTCAGCATTACTTTAAAGATTAACTATACGAGAAAATACCTTTTTATGTACTTACTGCTGAAAGGCTGCCATCGTATTCTCCAAATTTTCTCCAGCTCCTGCAAAAACATTAAACTTCATTTACTTAGCAACATTTTATTTTCCAGAAATTCATTTTAATTAGACACATCTAGTGAAAGTTCATACTTATATCTTATTTAGGCATTTCAAGTGTTTTTATTTTTTCAAGATTTATTTATTTATGCATACAGAACTGGGGTACAGGCCAGAGATGCAGGAGCAGTGAGAGGCTTCACCAGAGACAGAGTGGGGAGCAGAACAGCCAGACTGACCAAGTACACTGTTGAGGAGAGCAACGGGTGAGACAGGAAAGGTCTGCTGCACCATGTAGATCACCTCTTTGCAGGGGGATCGAACTCATGCTGAAGTGGCTGCGGCTAGTTTCACAGTGCTGTCCTTTAACCAGTTGTGCCACCAGGGAGGGCCCAATATTTCAAGTGTTTTAAGGAGTGTACTGGTATTTTGAAATACAGTTACACTAAGAAGAATTAAAAGATCAAAACATAGCCACAGGAACTCAGGAGGGTTAGAAGAAGGTAAATGTGACTTAAGTTGTAGTATTTGTTTGTCAGAGGAGGACAGAAAGCAATGTGGTACAAATATACCTCCTCATTGTGGGTGCTTTGGTAAAAGGAGAGCTATGGTCACTATACCTAGAGGGGAGAAGGGATCCTATACTGTCAAAACACCATCATCTAATTTGGTATGACGCAAAAGTTTTGTACAAATAGTTAATTTATATGTACTCCAAACTGAAATTTACTAAAATTACTACTACATGAAAGATATTCATAAGTAAAGTTACCTTTTTAAAAACTGAGTGACAAATAAACACAAGGCCTACTAGTATATTTCCTACCTTTGCTTTTATTTGTGCTAGTGTATTTTTTGTCCACTATTACTTTGCATGCATCAATGCAAATGTGAACAAAGTGAAACAGGTAAATAATGTCTTATGGAAACTGTCTTGACCTTGCAGACAACCAGGAATCCACAGACCACATTCAAAAACCACTGGCTTAAGTAAACAAAGATAATGAAAGTCAGAGGCATGTTTACCTCTAGGGATGGAAGAGGATAGACAGAGAAGGGAATTTTATGGGATTTTATAAAAAGTCTATATTTTGATTTGATTGGTGGTTACTTGGGTGCAAACATACAATTTTTTTTAATTGAGCTGTAGATGTAGTAATACTACTACATGCAAGCTAGCCTTATTATTTTTTATCTTATAATATTTTATCCTAGTATATTCATCTATATCCTAACCAGGCTTTTGAAGGCAAATGTTTAGGGAAACATCTACTTCCCAGGACCTGTTCCCATCTAGTAAAGGAAAATTGCATTCTAGTCCCTAGTAAGGGGAAAGAATGGAAGGAACACTTTAAACCATTCTTCATTCCTTCATCTACTCATTACATAGGAGCAAAAGTGACTTAGGAGAAAGAGTTATCTGTGCATCTGTGACTCAATACTTCACTAGTTTACTCTTAATTTTAAGTGGCCCACTCCCAGAAGAAACAAAATTTCTGCTAATCTGTAAAGTCTGCCAAGCAGGCCCAGCAAGGAAAAAGCCTCCAGTTTTAATATTAAGTTCAACATGGAAAGTTATTATGGAGTCTATAATGTAGTCACTCCATTAGTGACAAAGTTAACTGCATATTTCTAAACTGGTTACAAACTGGGAAAGGAAAAGAAAGCAGTGTTATCAATTAGCCTTTTCAAATTCTAAAAGCAAGAACTTTGTTATATACATCTTTAAGAATAATAATCTACAAAATAGTGTTTAATAAATATTTTTGGACATTTTAATGTAAATTTGTATGTGAATAAATTGTGCTAGAAATAATGATATCTGAAATTCATTTCAAAATAATCTCAGTGAGTATGGGCAGGGATACAGAAGAAACCAGACTGGGTATTAGTTAATAATTGTTTTTGGGTTCAAGGAGTCTTACTGCTTTTGTTTATGTTTGTAATGTCTATATTTGAAAAAATACAAAACACGCTTGTTTCATGTTTGATTTGGAGAAAAGGGAGCTGACCCACATGTGCAGCAGACTTCTCCTGAACACCCACTGCCCTCCTTAGCAGTGTTATTTCGGTACATATACCTGTTCTGCTCTGTCTCTGGTGGATCCTTTCATCCCCCACACATCTGGCCTGTACCCCAGTTCTTGTATGCATAAATAAATCATTAAAAGTAAATAAATTAAATAAAATCTTGACAACCATGATAAACAATACTATTCCCAGAAAAAAAAAAGGATGAAATTAAAATAGCTAACAAGAGAAACAAATTCAAGTATAAGCATATGACTTCAGATCCCACTCTTTTCACTTGTAACTAAGCTGACATTCACGTAACACCTTTATTTCAATTTTACAGGGAAGTTACTCATAATGGTGCTTAATTCCACATTCTGCTATTTGCTTATTACAAAGCTTGATGCTAAATTCCACAGTGATAATACCCACAAATTACTTGTTAGATTCATATGGTGAAAGCCTGGAGAGTAACTAAGGGACTAATTAAGAGGGATGCAAGTCCCTCTCCAAGGAATTATTTGGTACTAGCTCTCCTTTCATGAAAGAGTTTGAATTTCTTTCCTTTCCAATTATCATCACATCATTCATAAAAAAAACACTTGCCGCTAATTTTTCTTTTCCTTTAATAAGCAGCTTATCTACTGTCTGACTTTACTAATAATCACCATACACAGAAATGGAAGTTTAATTTTTAATTAGTTATAAAGTTAATTAATTATGAAACATGGAAGCGAATGAATATCACAGATTTACTGGCTGCCGTAATATGATTTGTTCATAATTCCTCTACCTACGTCCTCCTGCCTATCTCCTTACAAGTTTACATTTTTCACATCTTTGAGAAAACCTTCTTTGAAAATTCCCAATCTACTTTATAGAATCACCATGTATTTTCTAATTTGTCCTTATATATTGTATTTTCCTTTCATATAGTGCTTCATAACTACTTGTTGATAAATCTCTTTTCCCCCAACAATGTTTATTGTTATTGGTAAATTTCTGATAGGACAGGAAATGGAAATATGCCTTTTTTGCTTGTTCAAATCTGTAAATTATGTAAACCAGGGCTCCCCAGGTGGCACAAGGGATTAAGCTCAGCACTATGAAGCTACCACTGCACCACGAGTTTGATCCCTGGCCAAGGAGCTAAACCACATGGTGTAGCAGACCTCTCCTATCTCACCAGCTGCTCCCTTCAGCAGTGTATTTCAGTAGATCTGCCTGTTCTGCTTTCCATTCTGTCTCGGGTGAATCCTCTCAACCCTGTCCTCAACCCCTTGCACCTCTGGCCTACAGTACTCTTTGTGGCTATAAATAAATACAATAAATGTTTTAAAAAATAAATTCTGTAGGGCTCTCCCTAGTGGTGCAATGGGTTAAAGCATCACATTATGAAGCTCTCCAAAGCCACTGCAGCAAGAGTTCAATCCCCTCCCCTGCCAGGGAGCTAACCCACATGGCCCAGCAGACCTCTCATGACCCACCCACCGCCCCCCCCAGCAATGTGCTTCGTCACTCTGCCTGTTCTGCTCCCCACTCTGTCTCTGGTGAATTCTCTCACTGTCCCTGCACCCCTAGCTTGTACCCCAGTTCTGTATGCATAAGTAATTCTTTAAAAAAACTTTTTAGAAACTATTTTTCCCTTTTTTCATTTATGTTTTCCACTATTTCTATGGTCAACAATAATAACTGAATTCAAATCTACATAATATTAATAAAATTCATAATTTCATATAGAAATTTTTAAAATGGCCTTTGAGGGTACTGCTTGCTCTCTAGTACATCTTTGGTACAATAGCTATTTCATCAATACATTGTAATTATAAAATTGTTCTCTGGTCAAATTAATTTAGGAAACACATGGGAAGTATCTAGTATACAGAAAACAATTAAAAAACAACAAATTATAACTTTTTAATGATATATTAGCATCTGTTCTAGAGGCTAGAGTCATAAGCACTAATAAAATCTGAAACCTGCCCTGAGGAACTCTGTCTAGTAAGTGAAGCAGATGTATTAACATATTCTATCATAATGCTTTAAAGAGGTAAGAACAAAGCAAGCCCAGAGCATTTAATTTTTGAAACATTACAGTATTTTCCATTTTTGTGGACAGGGCCTCCCTGATGGTGTAGGGGTTAAAGTGCACTATGAAGCTATCGAAGTCACTGCAACAAGAGTTCGATCCTGGGCGCTGACCTACAAGGCACAGCAGACCTTTCCTGTCTTGCCTGCTTCTCCCCTCAGCAGTATATTTCAATCTATCTGCCTGTTCTTCTCTCCATCCTGTCTGGTGAATCCTCTCACCCCCCCTTCCACTTTTGGCTTTTCCCCCGTTTTTTTTTTCCTTAATTAATTAATTTTTTAAAAAATTATCTCGAGAAAATATCTTTGCAGAATTTCCAATAATAAATGAGAATTGGAGATGTAGCATATCCTGGCTTTAATATCTGTTACATTCATCTAGTGCACTTTCTTTTTTTGTTGTTCTCTTTTGTTTGCTTTCTAAAAAGTCCATAATTTCTTACCTGTACGGAGTATTGGTCCAAATTTCAAATATTAACACGTACTTCTTCTAAAATAAAATTTAGATTATCCGTAACAGTTTAGATAGCTTATTTTAGAGGATCTAGTTTTGTTCATTTACTATATTTTGAAAGTACTTTTCCTCTTTTTTAATCAGTTAACTCAAATGCAACATGTCCTGCCTATCCCCAGGGTAATAATACCATCACTGAAAATTGCCTCCATGGCAACAACTTAAGTACTGAAAATTGGGTTTGGCTTTAATGCCACAGTAATCAAGTGTCATTCTACAGTTCAATTATGTATCTGTTAAAATACAGATGAACTAAGCAAGCATTAATATGGCATTTGGCTGGTGACTCCTTAAAACCTTTGTTGGTTTTCATCAGTGGGAGACTATCAGAGTTACTGAAGTCATTTCTTTAAAACTACATTTAGCTGGTAAAACTATGCAGATTATACAGAAAGATGATAATCTTTTTCTGTGATATTTCAAACCTTATTCCTGACAATTCTTACTAGGATACTAAATCAAGTTTTAGACTGAAAACCAATAATTATCTGAAATTTCAGGTATTAAGACTGCAAATTTCAAGCGAATTTAAACTAGGTTGTCATTCATCTCTGAAGAACCGTTAAAATTGATTGAAATAATACCACTTTATAGAATTCAATGTATCACTTTTGAAATAAAAGACACTAAGAGGCTAAGGTTTGGCCTGCTGTCTGGGAAACAAGAGGGTGAATTATCTAGGCTCCAGCAAGTCATTTTTCCAAAACAGAAATATTTTTCTTGAAACAATACTCTCCTGTCATAAACTAAGTAATTTTTTGTCTTTGGAAATCCACATGTCATAGCTGGGTGCAGGGTGGGGCTAAGAAAACAGGTACACGGTCTGCATCCTTCAAGACGCTCCAGTTTCTGTCCCAATTCAGCCCAAACTCTTACTTGTGACCTTGGGACATGCCCCCGGCGCTGGGGCTCAGTTTCCCTTTCTTCTCAATTATCAGTGCTCAGAGAGCGGGGGCTGAGGGTGGGGGGCGTCCCCAGAGACTGCAGACATGAGGCTGCAGCAAACTCCAGGTTCACGCATTTCGTCAGCCCTGGAAGCTCGCTGCTCGGGGTCTCCCCACAAGCTCAGCCACTGACTCGCTCCGAACAGTCAGCTCCCGGTTCCCGGGTTCTGGACCCCCTGCTGTGCCCGGCCGAGCCCCGTCGTGCCTCGCTGACAAAAACGGAGCTACCACTCATCCTTCCTCCTGTCCAGAAACACCCCCTCTACCCTTCATTTTTACCCGGGTCCTTCCCACTTCAGAGAACCCCTGACACAGCTGCATTCGAGAGAGCCCCACCTTGGCTCCGTCAAAAGACCCCCTGCTCCCCCTGGAGACTCTTCACATCGCCTTAGCCTCCCGGGAAGCTCTCTTTTCACACATCCCCATTCTTCCTCGAACTCTCACGTATATTCTACCCGCCCGCCTTTGCGGAGCTCCAAGGATCCTCAGCTCTAGTCAGGAAAAAATTTTTAAAAAGCCTCCCCCACCTCCGCCATTGGGTTCTGAGGACCCCTTCTCACCTCCACGGTGAGATATGTGTTTACAGAGGAATCGCTGCTTCTTTCTCTGGTGCAACAAGGTCGGGTATTTGAGCAACAAGAACGAAGTCACCAAGTACCCTCCAAGGGTGGAGAGAAGGTAAAGAGCCGCGGTGGACGACATCTCAGTCACCATGTGGGAAATCTCCCACCTCCCGGCCTTCAGAACTCCGCTGTGGCGGTCGCAACGGCTGCGGCGGCGGCGGTTCGAGAGCTACTCGCCCCCAGCCGGCGGCGGCAGCGCAGCGCACTTGTCCGCGCCAGCCCCCCGCGCAGGCGCAGCTGGACCTTAGCGCCAGAGCAACAAAGGGGCTCCGGTACGCAGGCGCGCTTGGGCTGCTGCGGAGGAACCTGCTGTGGTCTGTAGCGAGCCTGTCACCTAGCTTCGTGGTCAGACTTCAGCGCTTCAAAGAGCCTCCGAAAGGAGACGAACGCCTGTCAGCTTGTCTATGCCGCCGCCATCACTGAGGGAGAAGAGGCCGTTCAAGAATAGCCTTCAGAAAGGACTGTCAAAATTAGAAAAGCCACATCGGAAAGAAAAGATTCCGGGGCTTAATTTAGCCCCTGCACTATGAAGGTAGAGAGAACAGTTGCCAATGGAGGAGTTAAAACCTATTGAACAATAAACCCCATCCATTTGTCTGGCCCATAGAGAACTTTTCCTTTAGCCACAACGGAAATGATGGACGGGCTTCTCTTTCTTTTCACTGTGAAAATGCAATTCTCATGCCAGAAATACTCGATTTAGAAGAACATTTAAAATAAGGAAAGGTTGGTAAGGCTACAGTTATTGCTCAAAAGCCTTAGAAACAGTGTTAGAGGAACAACCTGGTTGGGAGAGTAAAATTAATTAGCAGTGCTAAGGAAACTGAGATTTGAACAACATTGCCTTGGTAAGGATTAAGGAAAGTATTTGTTTAGGGCTGTCAAGCTATATTGTATGGATCAGCTGATGTGCAGGGTTTTGTTTCCCTTTTCCCAAATCTCAGCAGATAGCAAGTTTTCTTAAATTTGGCAACTTCTATTTATAATGAGTAAAACCTGTATATGTTAAATAATACTTGGGGAAAGTCTACAGAAGTAAGAATACTTCACTCTCAAATATAGAGGCACCCATGGCTTAGCAGGTGGTAATTTGAATTTAGAACCAGTACAATCTGAATGAATGGGCTTTCTCATTTAGTTTAAGCCTGTTTCCACATCCATAGAATGGGTATAATAAAAAATCTAACCTCATAAAGGTATTTTGAAAATCTAATACAGACATTAGAGTCCCCCAGGTAAGGAAAGCATTATGTCATATTAGTGGAAATGAAGTCTTCTCAATGATATCTTAGAGCTTATTAGATAATCAAAATGAGGATTCAAGCCCAGGAAACAGTCCACAGATTTTACTCTGGTCTCATTTAGTTTATGTAGGTAGGAACACAGAATCACTGACATTAAGAAGGTGATTATTTTTGATAGGAGGGGCTTCTAGTTCTAAAAAGATGTGCTGATGCTAGAGGAAGGCACCGCAGGATTTAGTCACTTCCTTTTTAATCTCTTACTTTTTAAAGAATGCATCACAGATATGAGGTGGGTGCCCATGGTGACTGATGTTATCATAACAAGGTCACCAATGTCAATTTATTTTAAAGAGTTAGGGAAAATGGCACTAAGGAAATTCCCACATAAAAATGTCCTTTGAGGACCAGGGGAGAAAATAATAATAATAATAATGAACAGCTATATACCAGAGACATTTTATGGGGTTGGAATGGGGAATGGGATCAAAAAAGGTGGGGGGAGGGAAGCACACTGGACTATGGTGATGGCACATGGGTGATTTGGTGATGGGAAATCCATGGGGATTACATCTGGGATGGAAAAAGGCACAAAATTATGTAAAAATAAACTATTAGTTTTTAAAAAGTACTATGAAGCTTACCGGGTAGTAGATCTGGGAAGCAGTAATACAAAAAGAACACTGATGTCTAGTCCAATGATTCCTTAACTTCATTTTAAACTCATCTATAATTGCATTACCCAAAATCATTAATGCTCTAGATAACATATACCAATGACTAGGAATACATGTTGTCATTGGACCAGAAGACATTACTAAAGAGTTCTGAAAGATCCCATAGTCAAATGGTGATACTATTCAAAATAAGAAAATTGTATTTAGAATACAATCAGATCTGAGCTATAAATTACAATATTAAAAAGTCTGGAGAGCCATACAACAGTTTAGTTTGTAAAAGACTTCAATTTACATTATTTTTTAAGGATTTGAGCCACGTTATCCTTTGAGGTAGTTATCCCATTTTACAGCTCAATAAGCTGAAGCTTTAGATATGATCTCATGTTAGGACATGCAATAGACTATGTCCTTAAGACACCAACCCAATCTGTTGTGCCAATTTAGGCCAATAAATACCATTAAAAGTATTGAAAATTAAACATAAACTATTGGTTGGCTTTGGAACTTCAAAAACTAAGTGCAGTTCCTATTTGCCCTATCTTAGAACACGTGCAAAGTTGTGGGAGACAGAATTGGAATGGCCATCTCTATTTCCACCTTTTCTTAGCAATTTTTTCACACTTATAATGCCATATTATTGCCTGTGGACCCCATCCTGGACACTACATCCGGGGAATTTAATAATATGAAATTTTGGAGATTGCTTATAAAAAGCATATACAGACAAAAACTAAACTGAGTTTTAAAAGGCCAAAGACACAAAAGCAAAGGTTCAAATCAATTCTATAAAATTGCTATATGTTATGGTGCTTACCACAGCATCTTGCATATACTAATCACTTTTTTCCTGATTATAAAAGGTAAGGACTGGGCCCTCCCTGGGGGTGCAGTGTGTTAAAGCACAGCACTAAGAAGTTTAAGCCACTTCCTCTGAGTTCCATCCACACCTGCCCTGGAAGATATCCACAGGTGCGGCAGACCTCTCCTGACCCACCCACTGCTTCCCTTCAGCAGTGTACTTAGTAGATCTGCCTGTTCTGCTCCCCACTCTGTCTCTGGAGAATCCTCTCACCCTCAGCATCTCTAGCCTATACCCCAGTTCTGTATGAATAAATAAATAAATCTTTAAAAACAAACAAACAAAAAAAAGGTAAGGACTATCTAAAGCTAATCAAGATGTATTCACATCTCCCAAACAATTAAAATTACGGGATACCTGTAAAACATAAATTTTTAAGACAGATACATTATTTCACTTATATGTACAGTCTAAAAAACAAGTAAGCAAAGAAAACAAAACTAATTTCATAGCTAGAGAACAGATTGGTAGTTTCCAGATAGAAGATTGGGAAATGAGCAAAATGGGTGAGTGAGATTAAAAGATAAGACTTCTGGTTATAAAACAAGTAAATCACAGGGTTGTAATGTACAATACTGGGTCCGTAGAAAATTATATACCACTGTAAATTTGAAAAATTACTAAGAATAAGTGAGAAATAGCCTATTATAGTGATCATTTTGTATATACAAATATCAAATCATGTTGTACACATGAAACTAATATCGATTATATATTTTTAAAAGATTTCTTTATTTATGCATACAAGAACTAGGGTACAGGCCAGAGGTGCAGTCAGGTATAGGGAAGGGTGAGAGAATTCACCAGAGACAGAGTGGGAAGCAGAACAGGCAGATTAACTGCTGAGCAGAGCAGTGAGTGAGAAAGGAGAGGTCTGCTGTGCCATGTGGGTCACCTCCCTGGCTGGGGATCGAATTCAGGCTGTTGTGACTGTGGACAGCTTCATAGTGTGTTTTAACACTTGCATCACCAGGGAGACTCCTAATATCAATTATATCTTAATTTAAAAATTAAATTTAATTACTATCAAAAGTTTATGTGTCTATTTATATTCCTTTAATCTTTACAACCACCCTTTGTGGTAAATAGGAATTCTTATTACCATTTAAGAGAAAATATTACTCAAGAATTAAGTAGATTGCCCAGTTTTCTTAAGTCCTGGAGTCAATAGTTTTTTTTTCCCAATCTATAATAATAATAATAATATAATATGAGACAAGAGATGGTCTACAGTAAGATAAAGATTCGACAATTTTAAAGAAAAGATTGATACTCTTAAAAGAAACTAGGGTGTTCTGGAGGTATCTTACCTAGTCTTGATGACATTAAAAACTGACCCATTCACTATTAAGGCCAGAATCAACTAATCTCTTTATCTTTTTTCAATACAGAAAGCCGTTCTCCCTGGTAACCTCTGGAACTGACCTCCCCTCTCCCCACAGTCTCCAAAGTCCTGCCTTAGCTAAGCTTTTTAAGATGACATCTACAGTCACATGGGTTACTCAGTTACGCTGTGTCTCTTCCACGTATATGAAGGTATACATGGTATTATTAAGCTTTTTGGCTTGGCTTTTCTATTAAAAAAAAAGTCAAAGTAATCAGTTAGAGGTACTGACAAGTTTTCATTCTTATTTGTGAAGGAAGCAGAACATATGAAGAGCGCAAGTTCTGAAATCACAGTTCTCAATTTAAATGCTGACTTTGCTATGCCTTAGCTTGTGACCTTGGACAAATTAATGATTTTAGGGTTTAACTTGCTGACTTATAGAATGAGGATATCTATTTTGCAGTCCTTTGAGGACTAGAGACAATGTATGCAAAATGCTTAGTAAGAATGAATAAGATTATACATTAGTTTTCATATAAGTTCACATTCTCCTTTTCCTAATTAAACTGTAATAAAATGGGCATAAACACACACTCATTAAATTACAAGTCTAAGTTGGCTGCCAGTCACATTTCTCCCTACATATATTTGTTTATTTAAATGAAATTTTATTGACTTACCACTGTTTTATAATACAGTATAAACTGACGAGTAGAGTTTCATAGATGTGTATATATACGTCACCGTACCTACCACCAAAGTTCTAATGTCTTTAATACCATCATCATATTGGCCTCCTAGGCCCTTTGCTCCCGCACTCCTCTCCCTTCTGTTCTGGTAACCACCATATTTTTCACTTTCCTACATATTTTAAAGTCAAGACCTAAACAACTGCTTTAAGTGGTAGTAAGATGTGGTAAATACTGTGTTTCATATATATATTGAGACTAAAATCTCCAGTACTATTTGTTCAAAGGTCCAATATCAACATGTCTAGGGAGATATAATCAATTACAATACAATTTTTCTATATTAATTTATTTTGCACTTGTCTAATTGGTGAGATAACTTTTACCATATTGATGCTGGTGAACATTACTATATATTGAC